CCCGCCGCAATACGGGAGTTCGAGCGGGCCCGGCGGGGTTCGCGGCGGGGAATCTCGTCCTGGGACCCCCGCGGGAGATCCATCTCAACGCCAGTCCTCCGCCGGGCCCGCCACGGAGTTTGACGGTTCTTCCGAGCCGGCTGGCCACTCGCGCAGTCAAAGCGGTACCGGACAAGCCTGGGCGGTGGGCGAAGATCCCGACGATCCGTTGTGGAATGAGTGGGTAGGCGGTGAACGAGACGAGCTGGACGAGGGCGAGGTTGAGGCTGAGGAGATAGAGGACGAAGAGAGTGACGACGAACAGGCTGAAGGTGTTCCTCGAAAGCGCGGCCGGAACTCAGTGGTGCGAAAGGATTGCTGGGGATATAAGGTCCTGGTTCTGGCACATGAACATGACCTACATGCATTGGGGGTTGCATTCTGTGTTTGTCGCGAAGGCCGTGAGATCGAGCCTGACGAACAGATGCTTCGATATGGCGGGTTGTTTCCAGCCACAAGCAAGAAACCTCGCACTGCATTTACCGTGGAGGGCTTGGCTTGCCAACAGATCGAGAGATTGGAGTGTAAAGTTTCCATGCAAGCCATCTCTCGCAAGATCCGCAGAACTACCCGGCCTTTACATCCATCCACTGTTGTTGTGAGTGCCTTGACATTTGAAGTGAATGCTTCAGATCTGACTTCACCTTCAACAGAATCGGTATCGGGAGCATTTAAGAGTCATGAGGCAGTATACGGCCGTCGATGCTCTCATCGTACATGGCTATGCTCATCAGGACGCCAACAATTGGAAAGCTCCCCCTCCCGGAGGTCTTTTTCATAAATGTGTTGTCTGCCCCTCCATCGACAACCTACCTCCTCTCTGGGACAGAGATCCGGACGCATGGGCGATCTTCTTCTCCTGGGTACACGACGGGAACTTCAGTGCACAGCACACAGTCTCTAAAGAGCCAGGAAACAATGTGCCCTTGTTTCCAGGCACCGGTGCCTTTCAACATCCGGACGAGGTTCGGGCAGCATTGAAGAAAAATTTGACAGATAAAGAGTTACAGAAAGCTCAGCCTGAATTGGTGAGCAACTCAATTCATGCTCTTGAATGTGTGAACTTCACGACTGTGCAGTTTGCAAATGACATACCCTGTCATAAGCATCAAGCCGCAGCTCTGACTGGGAAAAGCCGAAACAAGATCACCGACATCAAAGGAATCGGGTCGTGGGCGTGTGCTCGCCATGGCCACTTTGCAGCTTGCGGAACCTGCAATTATGAAGTCGGGGAGGGGTGGGTACATTCTCCGGCGGACTCCGTCGGTGCCCCGCTGATCCTCCGTAGGCAAGGTCCGGCGGACCTCGCCTTGAACAAGATCTTTGAAGTCTGTACAGATGCAGAACGAGTGAGGCGGATCCAGATCCTTTACGACATTTGGTGCCAGTACGGAAAACATTTACGTGAGAGGTTCGACAAGAGCCCCCATCTCTCCTGGCCAGACTTTGAAGAGGTCATGGGCGGTGTGGGGGTGTGGCATATCTTTGGCCACGTCTTCGAATGCTACGGTCGATACTCTACGCAGTACGCGCGACACACCGGTATTGTGGATGGCGAGATCTTGGAAACACTATGGTCCATCCTCAACAGCATCCTGGAGTCTTGTCGTGGGATGTCATTAGCCCATCGGGAGGAAGTGATCACACTATTCCAATCGGACAGCAACCTTCGCAAGACTCTCGACATGGGTAAATATTTCTATGACGGAGAGATGCTTTTACTCATTTCCTTTATCAGCCGATACCCTAGCTCGCAAGTGGACCAAATATCAAGTTGAGATGTCGCAAAGGAACAAGCTGCTCGAGAAGTTGTCGATGAGTGTCTCAGATGCCGACCAGCAGAAGTGGGAGATGGAAAGACAGCGCTTTGAGCACCTTCGTGTTTCGGACCCCCTCAAGGCCGATGACCTGTTTGGTGCTGAGTTGACACAAGGTCCTGACGTGTTTGTTCCTTTCAGTTCGCAAGTGGACTAACACAGCTGCTTTATAGTCCCGTCTAGAAAGGACACCGAGACAGAGCTCCTGGAAACTAAAGCTACTATGGTTCAAGGCTCGGGCTTAGTACAAGCACTCATCAGTAGTGTCAACCTTCAAGTCGATCAGTAAGTATCGCAGATTTACTTCTGGACACCTTTTCCAACATGTTTCTAGATTGAAGTTGCAGGCCTTCGACAAGCAGGCGACAACATCATCAGACAGAAGGACTCTCGCAGGCAACAGGACGAAGCTGCACAACAGGATAAACAAGTGCAACAGCGACATGGCAGCAGTTTTGCAATCGAAGCCTGGCCCGGACGAGCTGGCGGAGGTCCGGCTGCGAAAGCTGATGGAGGAGGACGAATGGGGAGGTCCGGCGGAGGCTCCGCGACACGAGGGCGAACGGGTCCTCCGCCGCGCCGCTGAGTTCAGACCAATCGACCTCCCTTCCTCTCGAAGCTTCGACTGGCGCAAACTGAACAACGAGGCATCTGGGAGAACCGGGGAGCTCAAACGCCGAGCCATGGAGGTCGAGGGCAAGCTACTGATGGCGAGGATGGAGGAAGAGCTAGGACAAGTTCGCACGACCATAATCGACCAGGCCAACACATATCTTCAAAAGATCCGGTCCGGTGGCGGCCATGAGACGAGGAACTACCATCTGACAAGTCGCGCTTACGAGGAGGTGCAAAACCAAGGCAAGGCGGTACGGCTCCATGCACAGATTTACAACATGTGTGCGACAAAGCTTCGCAAACTCGACTGGGACGATTCTGTGGAGGGCAAAGCAGACAAGAAAGCTCGGATAGCTCGTTATCGCTTTTTGGAACCCGACCATCTGAAGTGCTCAACAGCCACGTACAGTAGCAGAGGTACAAGCCCGAATTTTGTCCTTCCCTGGTTCTGGCGAATGGTGCCTGAAGGAGCTGACGACCATTCGGGAGCTGTAAGGGAGGAAGACGAACAGTTCGTCGCTGAATGTGAGTTTCACATCGTGAGAGTTGAATGAAGGGTACTCATGCCTTCAAAAGTCTTCAAGATCAGATGGATCAATGCAAAATGTAACCAGGCACGATGTGCAGAAGAGCTTACCATATTGCGGTTTGAGATGCAGATGTGCTACCTCGGGTACAGGAGCTTGGGAAGGCATTGGAAGAAAAGGGGACTGTTGATGCGCAACTCCCGAGGTCATCAAATGATGGCGGAGGCATATCGATCGGACTGGTTGGACATGGCTGCTTATGCCAAAAGAAGATTCAATGACTGCTTGCCAGGTGTCATTCACGATGGTCTCCACGCGACATAGCTATCTAATCCTACTAGTACCATAAAATCGAATGCATTAAACATTCCCCGAGAATGTCCGTCGCGTGTCCGGCGGAGGCGGCGAGCGGAGGGTCCGCGGAGGGTCCGCAATCGCGTCATGCGAAATTTCGTTCCATCTTTGCGATCTTTTCTGTGCAGATGTGGCCAATTGCCATAGAATTCAAGGGTTATAGTGGTACAGATTACAAGGAAAAGGGATATAAGCTAGAGATGTGAGAAAGATGATGAAGCAGCGGGAGGATGTATACAAAGATATGAGTTCTAAAGGAGGCCGAGAAGCAAGCAGTCAGTCCGGGTATCAGAAGCGAACACGGGGCAAGGTTGAATCACGACTTGGCCGTGCGAGGTTTGCGAGTCGGCGGGAGTTCACCAGGATCGTCCACCCTGCCCTTGGATCGAGTAGCCTTACCGGTGACAGCAGGACTTGGGGGAACTGCGGCCGACTGAGCTGCAGCAGGCTTGACGTTGCGCTTCGCCGTCTTGCGCGCGCCAGTTCCCTTCGGCGTACCTGCCTCGCGAGCGGCAGCTTCACGAGCTTCCTCCTCCTGCAAGGCCCTCTTCTGAGCCTCCGCATCTGCCGCAATCTTCGCCCAGTCCTCCGTCGGCCCAGCAGCGCTAGCGCGGGCGCCCGCCGGTTTCTCCGCCATCGTCACGTCGCCATCCGCGTCCACAACAGCCAGTCCTGCTGGCGTGTTGTCGGTCTCACCAGCTTGAGAGGAGGGAACCACCTCAGGATCAGGCTGTTGCGGACGAGCGGGAGGAAGAGGGGGAGCGGGAAGCGTGCCTTCTACTTCAACGTCGTCGTCGCTCTCCACCTGCTTCTTTGAGGCGGACTTCGCCAAGGCCGGATCCGGACTCCCGATCGCATCAGGATCCTCGTCGCTGCCCTCCTCGTCGGTAGCGCCAGCTGCCTTCCCTGCCGGCCAGTTCTTTCCGCCCTCGGGTTCGGGTACATCGTCATCACTGTCACTTGTAGCATCCGACAGTGATGACGGTCCCGATGCTGGGGATCCCGGTAAGCTGGCGACAGACGCAGGCTGCGATGCGGTAGCACCGGGCGTAGCGACGGACACGAGCGGTGCAGGCGATCGCCTCGCGCTTGAGTTGGCGGCGGGCGTAACGCTGGGCTGTTGAACGACAGCCGCAGTGGACGCGGAGGCGGCGGGCGGGGAACGCGGCGGAGGAGCGCTTGTATCTGTCGCAGGGTGCGGCGGGGAAGCTTGAGAGGCTGACGGCGGCGGAGACGTTGCGCGCGGAGGAGCCGGCGGGGGTGCCGTCGCAGAAGCTGCTGGCGGAGGCGGAGGGACCGCATGCGGAGATGCCGGCGGGGGCGCATCCTCCGGCGGAGACGACTGAGTTGCCTCCGGCATCGACTCCCCCGCGCCTCTCGCAGCCTCCTCGCCTTGCGTGCGGCTCTCCGAGAGAACCTGACGTACAGCCTCAGCGGCCTCTCGCGCTGAGGGGCCCATCTCGATGTCGCCATCGGCCTGAAACGGTCCAGTCTGGACCCCGCGCGTCTCCAGCGCCCGCGCATCAGCCTGCTTGCCGCCGAGGAAGCTCTTCAACAAGCTCTCGATGTTGTCGAGCTTGGCCTTGCGCTCGGTGGCCTGCCTCTTCAGCTCCTCCTCCAGATTCGTGAGGCGTGTCTCGACGGCCGTGAGCCGAGAGTGATCGCGTATGCCGTTGAGCGCGCCTTGAAGCGAGTTCAGCCCGTTGATGACCTCCGTGTGCCGGGGGAGCACGGTGTTCTTGTCGTACACCTTCGCGATGTACTCGCGCACGCCATTTGCGTTGGTCTTGCTGTCGAACTCGATCTTGTTCTTGAGGTCGTTGTAGCGAAGCTCGCTCAACGTCGCGTCGGGTTGCGAGATCGGGTGGACGGACGGGATGGGCGGCGGGCGAGGAGGATACTCCTGAAATTCGCCAGGCTTGGCGCGCTCAACCGGTGGGCGCTCCTGCTCCTTTTGCGGTGTTGCGGGCGGTTGATGAACGTAGATCGGGCCGTTGCGCGTCCCAGAGCCCGCCGGCTCCTTGCCCTTTGCAGCTCCAGCAGGCCGACCGTCGATCTTGTCGTCCGGACGCGTCTTCTTTGCTGGGCGCTGCTCAGGGCTCTGCTGTACGCCCGAGTCGCCTCCTTGGCTGCGTCCAGTATCGCGACGACGCTTGGAGCCGACTTCAGGCGACGAGGTGGACTGCGCGTCCGTCGGTCCAGCCGGCGGGGGCGCACGCGGAGGAACCGGCGGAGAAACCGGCGGAGGCGATGGCGGGGGAAAGTCGAAGTCCGCGTCCATTTCCTCAGCTGCATTCGGCAGGGCGTCGGGGTCCTGCAGACTCTCCTCCTCCCCAAACGTAATCTCCGCCATCTCGACGTCCTGCTGAGCGCCAGCAGGCTGCCCTTCCAACTCCGCCTCCGCCTCGGCCTTGGCCTTCGCCTTGGCTTTCGCCTTGGCTTTCTTCGCCTTCTTCGCCTTCTTCGCCTTCTTGCGCTTTTCAGCGTCGTCATCGTCGGATTCAGATGACGAGCTCGACGACGACGACGACGATGACGACGACGACGCAGAGGAGCTGGAGTCGGACGTCGTGGACGATGCGGACTTCTTCTTCTTCTTCTTCTTCTCGTCCTGAGCTGGCGCGGGGGGATCGACGGGTGTAAGAGCTGGCGGAGGAGCGGGAACAGCGGGCGAAGGGACCTGGGCGGCCGCGTCGCCCTTGCGCATGTGACTTTGCCCTACGACCGATATCAGCAGCGAGAAGGGGACGCAAATGAATGAAGTTAACGTACACAAGTAGTTGAACCACTTTTTGTGGCCGTCGGGCGGAATATATCCCTTCTTCTCGAGGTCGAGCATGAATGCCCTACGGACTGCCGGATTTGCCTTGACCCTCGGGTGGTTCTTGTACACCTTGTCCTTCGGCAACTGGCCGTCCAGGCACTTGCGCTTGGCGACGTAGCACTTGAGGCAGATCTGCAAGCCGCGGTTGATGCATTTCATGCCGAGCTCGATGCAGCTCTGGCACGATCGCTAAATTCACAGCATCAGTATCGTAAGTTCAACAGTGACTGCAAATGGCGCACCCTCATCTTCAAGCCGGGATTCTCGGAGTCCAGGCCGTGAGCCTCAGGAATACTCCACACGTCACACTCCGTCAAGTACTCGCCGGGCTTGAGCGCCTTCGCCTTGTCGAAGATCTCCTTGCGCGTTCGGTTGAGCTGCACGTTCGCGGAGTTGGCGTTGGGGGGCGGGCGCCAAACCTCGTCGGATTTGAGGTGGTAGTCGGGCCATGTTGACGGATGGCCCCAATCAGCCGCTGTCGCCGGCGCACTGGTGTCCTTGATGATCGCTGAGTGCTCCATCGCTGGAC